GAGACAATAACTAGTGAGTAATAGCAACTGTTTAAAAGAATCTTCTAATAGTGAGCTTGTTTACCATCCCTTTCTTCTTGAAGATGAACTACTATGATTGCTCAAAGGTCAGTGTGGGACATGCCACAGTAAGGTGTGCAAATATGGGAAATGGTAAAATAAAAATTAAGGAAAAAGATTTTTAAAATTTTTTCTTACCTTTCTAGGGGCTCTACAACAAAGCTTCGGAATACTTTAAGCAAGCTTTTGACACAACAGTAGCGTTAATGAACATGCCTCTGATGGATGAAACAAAAGTTCATTACGGAATAGCAAAAGCCCATCAGATGATGTTGGCAATGAACAATTGTATAGAATCTGAAAATATTACCAACCTTGACTATCTGCTGTCATGGAAGGAGAACAGAAGTGACATTGAACCTCAGCCTGCTATGGGTAAGGCATTGGTCTTTGAAAACACTTTAGTATTTGTGTTATTCTTAATGGGTAAGTCATTTTCATTGAAAACGTTTACTGTCTTTTAATTTGATTGATAATTTTAATTTTATTGGGAAATTACTATATGAAGGTTGCCTATTCTTTGGTGCCATTTTATACTTTTGATATTTTAAGAGATGCGGAATATAATGGTAATAATTTGTGGTACTTGATAAATCCCCATTCCCACTCCAGTTTTTTGGGTTTTTTTTTTTTTTTTTTTTTAGGTTATCCTAAATAGCCAACAATAAGTACTGATCAGTTGTAAGGAATGTGAAATAAGTTTATGGTTTTTTAAAATTCTCAGTGTCATACTTTACTTACAAAAACAGTAAAGTTTTGATGGGCACTAGTTTGTTTTATGCAGTGACTTTACTGCTAGTAGTTAATTCTCTTATACTTTTGGATCAATTTGGATTTGAATATTAATTTTAAAAATATTTTATAGTAATTTTTCTTAATTCTACTTTTTTCCTACATGCTTTTTCTTGTGAAGAAGTAGAGTGAAAATAGTTATTAAAAACAAAAAACTAGATGGGATGTAAATTTTATGTGTGAACTTGGCCAGGCTTTAGTCCCCAGGTAAGAACATTAGAATGAGACATTAAAACAAAACAAAACCAATGTACGGTACTGTCTATAACAGACCTCTGGGTTTATCTTATTATTTAATGCAAATGAAACCTTTTCAAGTAAAATATTTTCAGTATTTTTGATATTTTGGTGTAACAGAAGGCAAACCTTTTGTAATCTGAAGAAGTGTCTCCTATTTGATTTAGAACTCTTCCCCCCACTTTTTAGTTCATTTAGATGAAACTAATTTGTTTTGGTATTTATTTTCTTCATAGAATAAAGAGTAAATCATAGTAAGTTGGATGTAAAGGATTTTATTAACTCTTTTCAGTTGGTAGAATGCCACTTACCATTTTCTATACCCTAGTTCAGAGTTCCAAATACATGCACAGTAAGAGGAAAAATGATGAAATCTTCCAAAACATGTGTTATGCTTACTTCAGGATACTATCTTGGTATCATACATTTGGGGGTGCTGTAGTCTTGAGTTATGTAGACTTCAGGCTGTCATGTTTTCAGGCCAGAATGGCAGGAGCTATAGCAGAGGAAATATGATTCATATTAGATGAAGGTTTGGTAGAGGATAAATTGAGTTGCTCACATTTTCAGAATTGTCTCAGATAAACTCTAACCATCACAATGGTAATTAGGAAAACAAAGTATTCTTGCAGAAGCTGTCTTCTGACCAGATCCATATCTATTTGAGGCAGCCCTGGTTTGGGCTTTTAAAAATCTCTTTTGCTTTCCTCCAGTCTGTAAAGCTATTTATTTTGCTATACTTTTCTGTTTTATTTTTCTGTTTTTTTCTTTTGTAAGGGTGTTTTATTCCAAAGGACATAGGTGCAGAACAAAAAAATGCATTTCAAAGTATTATTCAGGCATCAAAATCTCACCTATTTGTAAGGTGGAGGGGGAAGATTGAATTCTTCATAGTGTTATCAAAACACACTCTCTTATTTATTTGGTCTAGATTAGAAGTCTATTCATGAATTAGCTATCACATGAAAATTTAATTCTCGTACAACTAACATGTTTACCATTTTTAGGGGTAGGCACTTTATTTGGAAATAAAACTTTTAGGACATTATCAAAAACGCTTGCTTGCATGGACATATTTTTAGTTCAAAATGCTCTAACACCTGCTTTAAAATGCTTAAAAATATTTCTTAAACTACAACTCATCTTCTATCTCTGCTCTGCTTAAAATGTTTCATTGGCTCCCCACTGCCTACTAGTTAAATATAAACTTCTTCACTTTTTTGGCCACTTCCTTCTCCCACCTTCCCCTACACCCACACATGCACCACACCTTATCTTCACTTTATTCACTTTATTCCAGCTCCAGTCCAGATTTCGGGGAAATCTTGCTCAGCTTGCTAGGTCCCTCTCACATGCTGAAACCTTTCCTGCTCCCCCCACCCCACACTTAACCAGGTCTTTTCTCTCTGTTCCTATGTTGAATGTCACTCATTCCCTCCAAGCACATGTCATTGGCATATTCTACATACTACCATGACCATTTCTATAATTGCCTTAACTGCCCAATTGAGAGTATGGATTTCTTTTT